ATACTCTATACTAAATTCTTTATAGGATTTAAGTTAGAAATTAAAGCCTAATTATAATTTAAAAAGAAAGAGATATCTACCCTTACTAAATTTATTAAATTAATAATTAAAGTTAATTCTATCTTATTTAAAAATAAACTTAATAAATAGGGAAAGATACCTAAATACTAACCTAATTATAGAAAACTATAATATTCTATAAATTACTATAGATTATAATCTATAGAGATAGATAAGCTTTAAAAAGGTAATTAAGCCTTAAAGAGGTCTAAGAATTTTAAGAAAAATATGGGAAATTATTTTAAATATAGCTAATTAGGATACTTTACCTAAAGTTACTTAAAGTCTAAAAAATAATTAATTAAGAATTTAGGAATCAGTATATAGGTATAGAAGATTACTATATTTAAAAAAGACTCTTATAGTATTTACTAATAGGGACTAAATTAAAATATAGGATTATAGAATAAAATAGTAATTTAGAGAATCTTAGAATAATACCCTAATATTTAGGTAAATATAGTTTATAAGTTTTATTAGGTATTACTAATTAGTTATTATAAGGTCTAAGATTACAGATTCTAGGAATATAGTAAAAATAAGGACCTATACTAAATTAGATTTTAGATAAGTATAGATCCAGATTCTAATAATCTATAGAAGAAATATCAAATAAACCTACAAATAATAAAAGGAATATCTAACTTAGATAATAGAAATTCTAAAAGATAGGAGTTAGATAAAGAAATACTTAATAATAGTAGAAGTAAACACCCTTACTTTTTAGGAAATAAAGAGGTTAACTATTAAAGGGTATAATAATTAATTTTTAGAAGGAACCTTAAAGCCTTAATAAGTTAAGGAAAAGTAAACTAATAATAAAAGTTAAAATTATAGGTAATTTTATTATAGCTATTAGAAAAGGCGAATCTAGAGACTCCCTTTAATAAAGAAACTAAGTTAGACGACCCTACTAAGTAGGAATATAAGGTTAAAAAGATCTTAGATTACTAAGTTAGGAGATATTAATACTTTTACTTTATAAAGTAGAAAGGTTACCTACTAGAAGAAAACACTTAGAAACTATATAAAAACCTTAACTATCTACTTAAGTTATTACAATATTATTATAAGAACCTAATATACTTAAAACCTTTTAATTTTTAATAGTTTAACTAAAAATAGTAAGATTATCTATAAGCTTATATAGTTTACTATCAGAATAACCACTATTTCTTACTTATTCTGTTTCTTTTTCTTCTTCTAGTTTATCTATTAAATAAATCACTTTTACCTTTATATAACTCTTAGCTACCTTCAGAATTTTCTAATTTTAGGAAAGTTAAGCCAGAAGCTTTTACTATTTAGTAATTAATTATTATTATCTTATATAAACTTCTAATAACTTTTTAAGGTTCTCCTCTATTATAGACCTAGTTTCCTCTCTAATTTTATTAAGAATTTCCTATAATATATTAATACACTTTATACCTTTATAAGTATAGTTTATATATTTAATACTTTTTAAGGAGGATATAGCAATATAAGTTAACCCATAAACTAGATAATACTTATAATTAAAGATAGTGATACTTCTGAACTCCTTAAGTTTAGAAGTAAGATATTTATAGTAGAGAGAAGAAGTTAAAGATATCTTTATTTTCCTTTCAGCAACTGCTAAACTCCTTATATATTAAAAGCTTAGGATAAGCTTATTAAGGAAGGGAATGGTATTATAAAGTAATATATAACTTATTATATAGTTAATTATTTTAATTATTTTAATTATTTTAAGCAGAATAATCAAAATAAGTGTATTAGTTAATAGTTGATAGCTGGGATATCACTAATTAATAGAAGTAATTATTCTGATTATTTTATTAATAATAAGTAGAATAAGCAAGGCAACAAGGATACTAGGGAAAAAAGGTCTATATAAATATCCTGTCTCTACCGGTATTGCATCTCCCTATAATTTAACTGTCTAGTTTACCTAGTAGTTAGTTTAAATATATCCCTATACTCTTGAAGCTCAGACTATTCTAAGTTATAAATATAACTATCTTATTATATTCCTTTCTTAATAAGCTCTAGCTATATATTATTCCTCTGCTCTAGGAAGCTAAACCCTTCCGAAGTGGCTTATATTAGTGAAGCTAGTCGGTACTGGGAAAGTATTCCTAACAAAAGGTTATCCTTTAGAGGAAAACACTTAGGAACCTTACAAGAACTTAAGTTGTCTGCTTAAACTACAGTACTTTTATAAGGAATACCTAGACCATGTCCTACTACTAGGATGGAAGTTAAGTTTGAAATAGGATCCTTAAAAAATAAGTTATCCAGCCTTTATCACTTCAGGCTGTGATCAAAAGATTTAGAATCCTAGGTACTCCAGATAGGGGGACTATTTAAAAGAATATTATTTTAAATAACTAGATCTTTTAATAACTCCTCTAATTTAGTATTAAAAAGATCACCACCTTTTATATATTATATCTCCTCTTCCTCTTTTAGTTTATCTAGAAGATATATTACCTTTACTTTTATATAGTTTTTAATTAGTTTTAGGATCTTTCAATTTTTCTTTAGATATATAGTAATCTTTTCTAACTCTAGTAAATCAGCATCTATTTATAACTTTGCCTCTTCCCTAATTTTATCTAAAGAGGCCTAGAATAAGTTAATATAGGTAATTCCCTTTAAAGTATAGGAAGTATATTTTACTAATTTTGTTCTAGATATAAAGATATAATAGATACTATATTTAAAATAGTTTTAATATACTATAATTATTATATTTCTATAAAGCTTAATCTTACTATATACTTACTTTATTTTATAGTAAAAGTATATTATTTATAAGACCCTGCTAAAATCTTTTAAGGATAAAGTAGAATAAGATATCTTTAGATTTAAAAGAAGGGTAAAATAACACTTAAATTAACTAGTATTTAGGATAAACTTACTAAGAAGGGGAATAATATTACAGTATACTTATTAGTATAGTTAAAGTAATATAGGTTATTACTAAATAATACCAAATAGTAATTTTAGTTTTAGTATATAAGACTTTCGGCACTAGTCTTAGTCTTAATAGATAAGACTATATATATGTCTTATTAGGAGCGATTAAGACTTAGTTATAAGGGATAAGGAATTAATTTATATAAGGAAGGTTAAACCCAAGCCTACACTTATTATAATTCAACTGTCTAGTTTACCTAATAGTTAGTTTAAATACTTTCTTATACTCTTAAAGCTTATACTATTCTAAGCTATAAATATAATTATCTTATTATATTCCCTCCACAATAAACTCTTATTATACCTTATTCCTCTACTTTAGGAAGCTAAAACCCTTCCAAAGTGGCTTACATTAGTGAAGCTAGTCGGTATTGGGAAAGTATTCCTAACACCTTACTAAGCTAAAGTATAAGGTTAAAAAGATCTTAGATTATTAAGTTAGAAGATATTAATACTTTTACTTTATAAAATAGAAAGGTTACCTATTAGAAGAAAATATTTAGAAACTATATAAAAATCTTAATTATCTATTTAAGTTATTATAATACTATTATAAGAATCTAATATACTTAAAACTTCTTAATTTCTAATAATTTAATTAAAAATAGTAAGATTATTTATAAGCTTATATAGTTTATTATTAGAGTAACTACTATTTTTTACTTATTCTACTTTTTCCTTCTCTTCTAATTTATTTATTAAATAAATTATTTTTATCTTTATATAACTTTTAGCTATCTTTAGAATTTTCTAATTTTAGGAAAGTTAAGCTAGAAGTTTTTATTATTTAGTATTTAGTTATTACTATTTTATATAAATTTCTAATAACTTTTTAAGACTCTCTTTTATAGTAGATTTAGCTTCCTCTCTAGTTTTATCTAGAATTTCTTATAATATATTAATATACTTTATACTTTTATAAATATAGTTTATATACTTAATACTCTTTAAAAAAGATATAATAATATAAATTAGTCTATAGATTAGATAGTATTTATAATTAAGTATAGTGATATTCCTAGACTCCTTAATTTTAGAAGTAAGATATTTATAATAGAGAGAAAAGGTTAAAGATATCTTTATTTTCCTTTTAGCAACCACTAAACCCCTTAAGTATTAAAGCTTAGAATAAGCTTATTAAGGAGGGGAATAGTATTATAAGGTAATATATAAATTATTATATAAGTATAGTTCTAATTATTTTAATTATTTTCTAGAAAATAATTAAAATAAGTATATTAGTCAATAGTTAATGGCCAGGGTATTGCTAATTAATAGAAGTGATTATTCTACTTATTCTAAATAAAATAAGTAGAATAAATAAGGTAATAAGGATACTAAGAATAAGGTCTATATAAATATCCTATCCCTACTAGTGTTATATTTCTTTATAATTTAACTATCTAGTTTATCTAGTAGTTAGTTTAAATATATTTCTATACTCTTGAAGCTCATACTATTCTAAATTATAAATATAACTATCTTATTATATTCCTTCTATAATAAGCTCTGGTTATACCTTATTCCTTTGCTCTAGGAAGCTAAATCCTTCCAAAGTGGCTTATATTAGTGAAGCTAGTCGGTACTAGGAAAGTATTCCTAACAATATTATGGTTTAATTTTAGTATTACGTATCTGGGGTTGTTGCATATTTGGGGTCTAGACCCTACTTAAATATCTTAATAGCTTAATAGATATAATTAAAAATAGTATATATATATATTTTAACTATAAATCTGGTGTCAAAACTCTATTATTTTAATGACTAAATTAGGGGGATGAGGCCCGTGCACTGTCGATTGTTTCGGGTATGGTGCCAATCACGAACATGACGCTCGCGCCGCACCAACATCAAGTTAGGGACAGTATGGAATTAGGAGGTGTTTCTCTTAGTTTAAAATCTTCCAGAGCCAGTAATCACTATTAAAAGTGGCCTGGGCTGTGCATTTTGGCCCTCCAGACCAACCAACTATATCCTATCATCATGGCTGAAGCGAATGAACAAAAGGCTAGTACATCATCAGATTTAAAAGAGAGACTACGGAACTTTCGGTATGCACGCGAATCCCCCTTCCCTACTCATGGTGGAACAAATTCAACAAATCAAATAAGAACAATATCGCGAGAAACTGCAGGCGACGCTGCAATCTGTAGGTCCAACGCTCGTGTGACGAAGCGGGCGCCGAAGCAGAAGACTAGCAAATCAACCAAGTATGCGCCACCGAGCAAGTACGCCCACCTCAAGCCTTTGACCGACATTCTCGAACCAAATCTAATATGTGTATTTGTGGGCTTCAACCCTGGTATCCGGACTGCAACCACAGGCCATGCTTACGCGCATCCATCTAACTTATTCTGGAAGCTATTACATCGTAGCGGATGTACTGATCGGCAACTTAAACCAGAGGAGGACGTCAATCTACCTCACTTGTATTCAATGGGCAACACAAACCTTGTTAGTCGACCGACAAAATCGGATGCTGAGCTGTCAAAGGAGGAACAATTGGCGAGTGTGCCAATTTTGGATGCAAAGATTCGCAAGTACAAGCCTGAGGCTGTTTGTATTGTCGGCAAGTCCATCTGGGAAAATATATGGAAGTATCGATATGGTTCGAAGCCGAGCAAGGCGGAATTTAAGTTTGGATGGCAAGATCCAAAGCATAATATGGGCAGGCTGACGATAGAAGATGACAACGACGATGGCGACAAAGCTTGGGCTGGAGCCAAGGTGTTCGTGGCCACGAGCAGCAGTGGTTTAGACGCCAGCACCAAGCCGGTCCAGAAAGAGGCAATATGGGCGCCATTGGGGCAATGGGTTCAAAAGAGGAGAAGAGAACGTGAGAATTATTCTGAACCATGACTTAGAGGAGTATACGACATCACTGGATCCAATTAAAAGAAGATGCGGCAAGATACAAGTATGTTGAGGTCAATCTATATAATCTCTATATCTATTTTAAGAGTCGCGTAATCTGAAACAGCTTTAAGTGGCTTAAAAATAAGGGTGTAAGGGGTTGATGTAAGCGTGATATCAAAATAGGAAGCAGTATATTTGAAGTAAATGTTAAGACTGATAGTTAAGGAAGTAAACTAAATACTATATATAGTATAAATACCGCTCTTCTAGAGTGTATATAATATATAATCTAAATATATATATCCTATAAATTTATACCCTCTTAATTCTTTATAGCTCTTCTCCCCCTTCTATAGTCTGATCCCTAGACATAATGTAATCCACCCCCATGTGGATCACACCCCCAAGTGGATCATCGCCTTCATCATCGCCACATTAATTGACTAAACGCGATGATGACCGACAATAATGGCCATTAGGCTCTTTATTAATTAGGTAGGGTAGACCTTACTGTTACTATTTACTATTAAGGTAAATTTAAATTAATTAGAGTAACTATTAAGATATATAATATCACCAAGAATACGCTCTCGCGTCATCTCCGTAGGGTTGTGTAAAAGCGCGGTAGCGTCATTACTAATCATCTCCTGTCGCCTACAGAGGAGGAGACACTGGTCTCCTAGATTCACTTAATAGCTTAATAAGGTATATTACCCTACTTAAAGGTAGTTTAGCATATAATAGTATTATTATTTAAAAAGCAAGAGCAATCAGTACTATCTAGTAAAAACTGGATTAAAAAACTTATCGCCCGCTATAATAGCCTTAAATTAATATATAATCATAAATATAATTATTAATAAGCTAAATATAAGGATCTAATGCTTATCAGAGATTAGTTTAAATAGGTATATGATATAGTAGTGTAAAGGTTTTAGGCTGACCACCACTTTAGGGGGTAGGACACTTATGTTAGGAATACTGTAAGGGTATATATATTATACCACCCAGCTATACTAGCTCATTGAGCTAGTATAGCCTGTCTTTTTGAGCGATCCTCATGCGCAAAGGGTGGTTGCGTGACAAATATAGTGTTATGGAACTACTAAAAATAATCTACTTAAATTATTATGTGAGGTAAACTGATAAGGCTATCAACTATCTATTTAGTAGTGCTGTACTAAAGTATTATATAATAATTAAGATATTATATGAAGAAGGGAAGGCCCGAAAGTAGTTCTTACTAAAAATATAAAGGGGGCCTTATTATATCTTTCCTAATTAGGATTTAGGTGCGCGCGCGGTGAAATGGAATTAGGACGTCAGTTTAGTTTAGGAGTCCAGTTAGCTAATATTAGGTAATATTGGGTTATATTAGGTTATATTAACTGATGTCAGTACTGCTTTAATCAGACAGGCAACAGGATGGTGCTAATCACGTGTCATAGGGGTGACCCCATGACACATATATCTAGATATCCAGTCCTCTTTATTAAAGGTAAGCTTCTTTAAGTTAGCTATATAATTATATTAAGATAGTATACCAGTAATATATCATATAAACGTCTTTCTAGGTATACCATAGATCTTCACAGCTTGTGTGACTGACTGAACTTAGCCTCTTTTAATTACTGATTTTACTAATAATAATTAACTTTTATTATAAGATAATTACTATAGTTTTGATTACTGTATATGTAAGGGGTGAATGTAAGCGTGATATCAGGATGGGGAGCAATAAGTATAGATTAGTATTAAAACTGATGACTAAGAAGTAAAACTAAGGTAGATATTATATATAGCTTAAATACTGCTTCCTCCTAGAGTATATAACCTATAGCCTAAGCGTAGTTATACTATATATATATTCCTACTCTATTCCTTACAACTCTTCCCCCCCTTCCATAATCTGGTCCCCAGACTTGCTAAGATTATGTTCCTCTACTAATATAGTATTATATTAGATATATTCTATCTATTATTTTTATTATTTATTATTATTATTATATTAGATATACTATTAGTATTTTAATATAGTAAGATAAATTCTAAGTATTAGTATTATAGTAATAGTATCTTAGTACTAGAGCCTCTTAGTTACTATTACCAGGTTACTTTTAAGGTAATAGGGTTATTATCTCCTTAAAATAGGGGTAAAACCCTATCTTAACCAGAGGAGGGGAACGAGGCAGAGGTGGATATTTTTATCTACCTCTGATACAGTAAGGATATTAACCTTATTTTTAAGTATAATATACCTGTATTCTAGAAGTATACTAGGTACTTACACTAGTATTATAAATATAAAGAGGTTTAAGTTCTATAGTTATAATTATATTTCTGTTACTTCATCTCACTATAAACAGGTCCTACTATAATTTAGCTACTATCTAGCCTATCTTATTAAGCTTATAAAAGCTCTTAAAGATTATAAGGTAGGTATTATATTAATAGTTTAGGTTAACTAAGTAAAATATATATATATATTTATATACTATAGAACTATAGTTAAGGTATTTATTACCTGTGATAACTATTTGGGCGGTTACCACTACCTAACCCTAGAGGTAATATTTTATAATTTACTAAGTTAAATATAATAACTGGTTTAGGATATAAATACCTTAGCTAGGATTCCATCTTCACCTATAGGTATAGTTTTTCTACTAGTATATTAGCTCTACTAATTTATTTAGGCTAGTATACTACTTGGTTATTTAGGGGGCGTCCCCTAAATTCCACCTAAACTCATCTTCTCCTCCTATTATTATAGTTACCAGGCCTTCAGGCCTAATTCCTTTCTTAACTTTATAGTCTCTTTTTATCAGTAGTATTATACTACTGCTTTACCTTTACCTATAGCACCTTTATTAAGTTAAAGTAGGTTTACCCCTTATTACTGCTAGAGCTCTATTATAAAGCTTTCTTCTAATTATTCTAATTAAGGATATAATCCTTATATCTTTAATTTATATAATATATTTAATATAGTTTCTTTTAATATATAATATATATTATTTATTTCTTATATTCTATATATATCTTCTCTTTAACTAGTTATTAAATTTATTATACTTCTCTTATATATTATCTAAATTTTCTTTTAGTAACTACTAGTTATATTCTATAGGGTAGCCCTTTTATTTAACCAGGTATTATATATTATTCTTATACTTCTTCTTATTAAGGATTTCTTCTATCTCCTATTCTTCCTTATTATCAATAATTTCTAGGAGTGGTAGGTGATCTACTATATTATTACTACTTATATACTAATAATATTTTTCTAATAAAGAGATATGGAATATATTCCAGACTTTCTATAATACTAGTAACTATAGTTAATATACTTATATACTGACTAGTTTAAGGATTCTAAATAGTCTAATAAAATATAGTATAAGTTTCCTATTCTAGTACCTTAGATATAGATATTTTATTAATAGTAGGATAAGGTTATTTATTTTAAATATTATTAGTTTATACCTATGGTTATAGTATTTTGCTTACTCTTAGCTTATATTAATAAGATATTCTTCTAGCTTCTTACAGATATTATAGAGTTGCTTCACTCATTCTTATATATTTAGTACTTATTTTTAATTCTTAATATTATAATAGACCTCTAAATAGAACCTATATAGTATAAAGAATAGGGTTATACCTATTAATATATTAATACTATTATTATATATAAATTTAGTAATTAGTAATAGTTTTACCTATATTTTTAGGTACTCTCCGTAGTATATGTACAGGTATTCCTGAATCATTTGATTTTGATATTCTATCTATCTATCAGTTTATGGATGGAATATAGTTCCTATACATCTATATATATATAATATATAGTATAGTTCTAACTAGAATTTACTTATAAATTTTAGGTCTCAGTCTAAGATAATACCCTTAAGTAAGCTAAAGCTTCTTATAACCCTATTAAGTAGTATATTAATAATATTTATAGCTATATAATCTTTTATAGTTAGGGTATAGAATGCTATTTTTATATATCTATTAATAATTACTAAGATAGTATTATATATACTACTATTATGCTTAGACAGCAGGATACTATTTATAAAATCTATAGTAATCTCTATCTATAGATATTCCAGTATAGGTAGCGCCTATAATTTGCTATACAGGTGGTGTCTCTTTACCTTTACCCACTAGTACATATTATATATTTATATATATTCTTATATATCCTAGCATATTAATAGCCAGTAATACTTTCTACTTAAGAGTTTAACTATTTTGGTTGCTCTAAAGTATCCTATATAAGGGTTATTATGGTATTTTCTTATAAGCTTAAACTTCACTGCCGGGTTATCTGGTATATAGGCTTAACCCTAGAATAGTAGGATATCCTAATAATTTACTAACTAATTACCTACCCTCTTCCTAACTCACTCTTCTAATATATTATACTTACTTTTAGTAATTTTACATTAAGCTTATAATTCTTATAAAATATTAGGGATCTCCTTTTCTATATAGGCTGCTTTATTTTCCATAGCTCTCATAACGACACAACATAGGTAGGTGCTTCTCCTTACTTACCCTGCTGTTTGCTGCCTATAATACCTATACACTTCCTATATCTAAAATATATAAAGATTATATAAGGCTATAGTTATAGTATTATTATAGGGGCTCGCCTCTCTATACTCTAGATTAGTCCCTGGCTATTACCCTATATACCTAATTACTTTTAATCTATTTTTAAATATTAAGATTATATATATAGCACTTTCTGGTAATACTGCCAACTTTTAGTGTAATATTAGAAGTAGGTTATCTAATAGTCTTTCTTCTATTATATAGTCTAGGTGTCTTAAGGGCATATCTACAGGATTAGACAGACCTACATGGTAGTAAAGGATAAAGTTATACTATAAAGGTTTTAGGCTGACCGCCACTTCAGGGGGTAGGACACTCGATGTCAAGGCCTTCCTGAGGGTGAGAAAATCAAGAGGGAGAGAGAAGCCTCCCACAGATGGGAACTGTAAAGAAGCTTAGAAGTAGGATAAGATAGTTAAGATAAAGGTATAAAAGAAGATAAAGTAAATAGGAAAGAGTAAAGTAAAGA